AAACACAAGTCTCACAAAAAGTCCAAATGAGCCTAAATGAGCCTTGAGCGAAAAAATGCACACTTAGCACAACACTCACACGGTAAAATAGCCTTTTTACTTATCATTTCTGCACAAACAAGACATCGTTTCACATTGTGAGGTGACACAGAATCGAAGGGTACCCTCATTATCACTCAATTATACGAAATCGCGACTTTATAAACAAAAACAGACATCAAAACATGTGGCGCTAGGTAGCTAAAAATGCTAACATGCTTTACTTTGTATCGTAGTCTGGTCCAAAGTGGTCTTCAATGGCATTAAAACTATAAAAACGCTGCTGAAGTTAATCCATAGGTTAATCCAATGTGTCTGTGTCCCTTTGAAATGATTTCTGATAATCCATGAGCAATAAAATTGCTTTTCCGTTTCTAGATGTCAGAGCTACAGTATAGGTTCACTCTGATGCAATTCTGAATGTGCGAAGCCCTCACCTTTTTGATGTACAATATTAGTGAGTGGGGAGATTCCCCTTCGATTCTATTGGCTCTAACGGTCAGAAAGAGATGTCAATCACCAAAATCGACCAATGGGTTCTAGAGAAACGGTAAAACCCCCATTTCCACCCAAATCATTTTTTTTGCTAAACCACTCTAAAAAGGTCAAATGTCACTTGTTTTGCATCAATCTTGATACAGGGTACTTATTATATGTTGTACTTTGGATTCCTAAAGCTTTTAGTCTACCTTACCATCATCCAAGGGTAGTTTTCACTATAAGTAAAAAAGAATCGGACACTATAATTTACAGTTTTTTACTATGTTCAATCTGAATTTTCATTAAAATAAAAAACCTCTATATTGTTCTGACTCTTCTACATCCAACTCACAGGTTTATCATTACTTTGAGGAAAAAGATTATTAATTTAACCCTTTTAGAAGGGAAGATATGGTCATTTGTTCTGGGAATGTCATTTTCGAGCCTGAGACCTGAAAAACAGGCTCAGGGCTTAACAGGTTAAAAAAGCACATAAAATCATTACTACTGAGTGCTATGGGAATAGAAGGCTCAATAGAGCTGTGGCTCTCTGTCAGCCTGGCTACAGTGCTGAAAATAAATCTTGCATTATTCTTATTCTCATCTATTAATGAAGAGTAGTAAGCTTTACGCAGTGCTTTCTTATATTCATTGAGAGTAATATGCCAAATTAAACGAGATTCTTCATGTTTAGTGGAACGCCATATCCTTTCAAGTTGTCTCGACTTTTGCTTTATTTTGCGGGTTTCGGCATTATGCCATGGAGCTAGTCTATGTTGTTTTATTTTCTTCTTTTTCAAAGGAGCAACAGAGTCTAATTTTATTCACAGCGCATCTGTAGCACTATCAGCCACATGATCAATTTGGGGTGGTGTACATTTTTTATAAGTTTCCTCCCTTACATACAGACAAGCTATCGAGTTAAGTATTGGTGGAATCTCTTCCTTAAATTTGGCTATAGCACTAACAGATAGGTTTCTGCTGCAGGAACTTTTGAATAATGGTTTGTAGTCTAGTAACAGTACTTCAAAAGTTACTAAGAAATGGTCGGGTAAAGCAGGATTATGCGGTTCGACTAATAGTTGCTCAATTTCAATACCATAAATCAGAACAAGGTTGAGAGTGTGATTATAACAGTGGGTTGGTTTATTTACACTCTGACGGAAACCAACATAATCTAATACAGAGTTAAATGCAACAGTAAGGCTATTTTTATCATCGTCAACATGAATATTAAAGTCACCTATGATAATTACTTTATCTGTTTTAAGTACCAAAGTTGCTAAAAAGATAAGAATTCTGAATAAGGACCTGGTGCACGGTACACTGTAACAAATAAGATTGGCTGCAAAGTTTTCCAGGCCGGATGCGTAACGGTGCGTCTACACAGCAGCGTTAAAAAAATCTTGAAACACTTCTGCCCATTCACTTTGAATGGGGTGACGTCACTTTCCCTCACTTTTCGCCGAAATGCATTGTGAGCAGGCGAGCGGAGATTTTCAGGATTCAAAGTTGAACAATGTTCAACTTTTGAGGCTGAGTTGGAAGCGTCAGCCAATCAAATCCCGTGTACGCAAATCTGACAGTTCAAGCTCTAGCCAATCAAACGGCGTGTATGCTGGGAGAGACATACCGCAGGTCATTTCCTCATATTTCAAAACATGGAGGAGAAATTAGCGGTAGCGAATCAATCACCCGGTGCTTTATGACCAGACCTACTGGGATATAAACCGGAGGAGCCAGGCATGGAGGGAGGTGGCAGAGACAGTGGTAGGTTTTCGCCTGTTTTGGGGAGTTTATATCCAGTTTACTTCGGGCTTTTTTGCTTCGTATGTCGCGGGCGGGAGATTCATGTGATTGGTTGTTCGTGCCTTGCTCGCAAAAAATCCTCAAGCTTCAGATACGCCCACCTCCAAGATTTTTTTAACGCTGCTGTGTAGACGTACCGTAAGACTAAAAACAAGGCTTTCAAAGGAGGTATAATTTAAAGGACACCTATCATGCTATATTTAAATGATATATTGTAGGGCCATACCTATATAAGGTATATTTATACGTTTCTGTTTTCAAAATACCAAACAGATCATGCATTTTAGCCATGCCTCATTTCGCTCTATTTGCTGTTCTCCGGCCCTGTTTTTGCAGGGGGCTGATTCTGTGAGCTGCAGCTGACCACGCCCCCCTGCAGGAGAGGGGAGCACGCTCTGATCAAGTCAGAAGAGGGGGTGAAAAATAGATATCCGTCCTCCGTGTTTTATTAGAGCTTATTATTATATAGAGTCGTTATTCATTTGTTTTAAAGCTCAATAAATAACAAAGAAGACCTTTGACCGGCACTTTTCTAATTTTGTCCGGAAGATTTAAACTTTAATGGACATCTTGACCGGCGAAAGAAAACCTAACTGAAACTCTGCCGCACGGTCCCCTCGTTCCTTGGAAGAGGCGGAGAGGTGGGTGTTTGTCATCTGCTGGTGGACTAACCGTAGAGAATTACAGTGCTTGCCTCGACGGGGAGGGATTGCATTGAATTAAAGCAGCAGGAGCAAACGCTTGCCTCGGGGAGGGAGAAAAAAAGCCACAGCGGAGAATAAACAGAAGGGTAACCATGGTAACCATGCGCGGGAAGTCTTCTTCGCTGCTTTTGTGGCAGACTACAGCGCCACTTACAGGCCTGGCATATGTACTACAGCGTCTCCAGCGCATTCGAGCGGCAATGGCCGGCCGTGGCCCAACCCCACATTCCCCTGATAGGTGGAGAGTTGGCCCAATAGCCGTAGCGCCACCGTCCTGACGTCAGGACAGTGTTCAAATCTGGATCAGTTTTTATCAGATCCGTTGCAGCCCCTTTTTTAGAGATTTGGGTATGGAGGAAAATAGAGAGGGTTGTGTTTTCTGACACTTGGTGAGTTCCCTGGAACACCGGGGACAAATATTCATGTATAAAAGATGTACAAAAGTGCATTTTGCATGATAGGTCCCCTTCAATTTTGGTTTAGTATTGATAAGTACATTTGAGTCAAAGATGGCTGCAACTCCACCTCCTCGGCCTGTGCCTCGAGGAATATGAGTATTGATATGGCTGGGTGGAGTGGCCTCATTTATGTTGACATATTCTTCATGTCTCAACCAAGTTTCAGTGAGACAGCATATATCAATATTATAATCTGATATTAAATCATTTACCAATATTGCTTTAGATGCTAGAGATCTTATGTTTAAGAGACCACATTTAATCTTCCTGTTTCGTTGAACTGTAGTAGTTGTTACATTTACTTTTATTAGGTTATTATGTATGACACCTCTATTAGGTTTTACCTTAAAGGGGACCTATCATGCAAAATGCACTTTTGTACGTCTTTTATACATGTCTATGTGTGCACGTGCCTGCCGAACACGATACATTAAGATAAGAGGAAACAAAAAAACATAGGGTCTAACTCTTGTGTGTATACCTACATCTCTGCTAGTGCAGCTGACTTTCATGAAATTCCACTTTGATGTTGTATTGTTGAAGAAATTGATTCCAGTTTCTGGTCATTAACATCAGCACCTGTCGTACTCTGTTGTTGTTCTTCATCTCCCTCTCCCCACTGATAACTACTCATGTAACGGATGTGGACTTGGATGTAACAGCATGTTCATGACATGGCCTCCCATGTCCTTCCTGGATAAGACATTAGTGGCACTGTTGCTCATTAATGCATTGGCAGCTCTTCGGGGCCACATCAGAGAATACAAGCAAATTGAACAATGATTTGTTTCTGCACATGTAAATATGCTTTACATTCAGAGTGTTGATGTAAATGTCTGTGCAGGTGTGTACATACACAGTAAATCCTGCAACAGGGAGACCTCCCACCATGTCCACCGGCACTCATACAAATCGGCAATCAGCTGGAGCACCTACAAGCGTCTAAACATGGAGAGCAGACTCATGGACAGTCTGTTAGTGTTTACATCGAGTATAAACTCCTCTTACTCGGCCTACTAATTCTAACCAGACCACCAGACACAAGCAGGGTCCATTTTTTGTGTACGTGTGTGTGTGTGTGTTTATGAGTATGGGAGGGTTAAGTCTACTCTTTATCCTGTTCTATTTCAAACGGACTGAGCACCACATGTGTGAGATTAACTGTGAAAACCTAAAATTCTCTTTCTCAGGGACATTAAAGCTCGGTGTCCACATGTGTTCCGCTGAGGGCCACATCCATAAAACATTCATATCTTATGATACTAACTGCAACTGCATAACAATCACTTTTGAATAGTTTAACGCTTCTTCGAGGAGGGAATTTCTCAAGACTCCAGCTGTGCTTGGTATTCTGTCTTATTCATGGCAGTTAATAGGGGGTGGGGGGGTTGTTCACGGGCGCGACATCACTCCGGTTCTTGCGGATCCATAGCGCCTCCACGCGGACAGAAATGGGCACTTGGCTGCATCGCGCGCGTACAGGAGGAGGGATCAGATCTGGTGGCTGGGGCTGGACCGGGACAGGAGGGCGAACGGACGGCTCTTCTGCGGGAAGTAAACGCGCATCAAGGGCTTTATTTTCCCATTTTCTACCTACTGTATCTCGCTTTTCTTTCTCGGTTTTCCCTCCTGCTGAGATGAGGAGTTAATCAACAGAGGATCAGACGCTCGCAAAGTTTTCAAGTTGTTGGAAAGAGTTCGGGTAAGCAGCACTTTTACGCACAACAGTGTGCCAATCTCTCACTTTCTCTGCTTCCTCTCCTCTTGTCTGCCTCTTTTTTGCTGTCTATTTGCATGTCTTAAAAGTTCTCTCTTCTACAGAAATCAAGTATTTTTCTCAGTCGGTCAAACTTATTGATTCGTATCTCCTTAAACACCTAAAAACGAATCGCCAAAGAAAGAAAAAAAAAACCTAAGCATGGCCTAGAACATGGGGTCTGTTAGTCGTACTCTTATATTTGCATGTTTTTCTTGCATGATATTTACCTGTTCAGTGGTGGTGAAGGCTATAGTATAGGGTCTCCCACTCGCTCCCCTGGCCTGGGCAGAGGGAGAGGAGTGGGAAAATCTGCAAGGAGCGACTCCTCCGCAGCTGTCAGTCCGCCAGAGGGAGCCACAGAAAGCGCGTGGCTGACTTAATAGTGTTAAAGTAATGGCCTTAAATTATTTGTCTGAAAAATGTGTTTTCCTAAGTGCAAATTGCGGGGTCTGACATTATTTTGATATAAATAACATATATCTATTGATAACTATTTTTAGATAAGTAAATGCCTATTGCTCTACTTGTGGGATGGCTTTTGTTTGCATTGAAAATTATATTTTCTTTTTATTACTTAAATTGGAGAAGTCCTATTTTTTTCCCCCTTGTGAGGATGCACGTTTCTGTAGTCTTAAGAGTACATTATACTGCAGTGAACATTAGTTGGCAGATGGCCCAGTGGTAGACACCAGAGATGGAGTACTCGAGTCCTGGACTCGGACTCGAGTCGGACTCGAGTGCCGATTTTCGGGACTCGTGACTCGACTCGGACTCCCGCACTGATTGACGCGACTCGGACTTGGACTCGTGAATTCTCGCGCACGATGACTTGGACTCGGACTCGGACTCGGACTCGTGAATTATCGCGTACGCTGACTTGGACTCGGACTCGGACTCGTGAATTTTTCCCCCCATGATGACTCGGACTCGACTTGTACATTGACGCTCCGACTTGGACTCGGACTCGGACTCGAGCAAGTTTTCTATGGAGTCTGATGTCCTCTATCCTGGCGTGTGCACCGGCTGCGAGGCGAGTTCACGTACTGGGCCCCGCTATTCCAGTCTAAAGATGTCTAGAGACACACCCCGCATCGTGCTGTATGCTTTCACACATTCTGCTTCCACATTGGAAAAGAGCAGCGCAAAATGCTCTATGTGGAAACAATATTGAAGAGAAGGCTCCGTAACACATTACTCTAAACATCGAGTTCAGACATATAGGCTGTCTTGAACACTATCATCAGAGTAACGTCATCTAATCAATACATAAAGATTCAGCCGATAACACGAAAGCATATGGCTACTTAACATGCAGAATGACGTCATTTTGCATGCTAAGTAGCCATGTGCTTTCTGGGGCTAAATCTTTATCAGTAAACCGATTTAACCGGTAAAAGTTCCTTCAAAATAAGAGTCCCGATCTTATTACTATCAAAATAAAAGTGCAAAACGAAAACTTTACCATAGGAAAATATTGGCATACAAATATAATCACTTCTCTAAAAGGTAACTCATTTTAAACATAGTTTATATATAATAATAATAATAATAATATTAATATTAGTAATAAGCTTTATATTTGTATAGCACCTATTACAAGAATTGTAGCCAAACTGGCTTCACAGCAGTTCAATAGACAGATTAGTATAACATGACAGGATAAAAGCAATGTAGAGGAGCAGCTACATTTCAACACATATATCCACGAAGATTAATACATGAAGACTTGTGACTCGGACTTGACTTGGACTCTTCTTAGGTGACTCGGACTTGGACTCGGACTCGAACACAGGTAATGATGACTCGGACTCGGACTCGACTCGGACACTCCTTGGGTGACTCGGACTTGGACTCGGACTCGAACACAGGTAATGATGACTCGGACTCTGACTCGACTCGGACATTCCTTGGGTGACTCGGACTTGGACTCGGACTCGACTACGACTCTCCCTTGGTGACTCGGACTTGGACTCGGACTCGAAGAGTGGTGACTCGAGAGTGACTTGGACTCGTGAATTGGTGACTTGACTACAACACTGGTAGACACTCACTGGTTGTGCTATTAGAGGTTGCACTGTCTTTATTGACATGTTTCTACTAATGTGTTGGGTTAAAACTTGATGTGAGAGTTAGCCTATTACTTTCCCGTACATATAGCTAGGCTGGATTATTAATCATGTACAGTGTTCACCTCCCAGGGGCCCTGAAGGCCTCATACCATGAGTGTGTCAGCTGGTTGGTTTGTGTTAATTTAAATCCTTTGATCAGGAATATGCACACCTGAGATAATCAGGGTCATAATGAAGGTCCTGCATGATAACCTGCTTTATGGCCAGTGAACAGGGATTAGCCGTGAGAGCCTCTGGAGGTCAGCAGTCTGAGGCTTTATAAAATATAATGGTGTAAATAATTAATGTTCTCATCAATATTTTTGCAGAATACATTTTGAGTCAATACAAATGATATAAAATTGGGTTGAACTGCAATCTTTACCACTCGTGTAATATGCTAAAATACTCCACTAGATGTCGCTGTCCCTTTAAATGAATTGCCTCCTACAGCAACAAAAACTCGCTACCACCATTACACCATTAGGACTCTGTTAGCTTTCATTTATAAAGGTAAGCATATTTTAGTTTGAGAGGTCTAACTGAACAGAATTATGTAACTTTATTCAAAAAATAATTATGTGAATTAATCAAACTTAAATAAATAAATTACAAACGACTTCATTAAATAATGCTAAAGGTATAAAAGCTAAGCTAGCAACATTTAAATGGACTATACAGAATAAAACCAACTTCTGGTCATGAATTTTTGTTAATACGATACGTTCAATATAATTGCATTATCCATAGTGAAATAATTAGACACGTTTGAGTTTTTACTGTCTCAAAATATGCTCCACTAACTGGTTAAATTGTCTTTTACCAATAAAGGTAGTTATACAAAGATAATAAACGAACAACATTTATAAAATAATATATCCACTGTTGTCATAACATCTATTCAATGTTATTCCATCATACATTTAATGTAAATAGTATATTAGTATGATCTTTCATTATTTCTGACATTTTACAAATAATATATAGGCTAATGTTCTTATATCAGAAAATCCTGAAGACACCCACAAATGAACCATTTACCTCACTAAACAGATGAGCAAGTATGGTTCATTCCTTAAAAAAGTATTTAAAGAAAATGTATTGGTTTCCAAATGTATTTTGATACCTTCACCATGAAGTGAGGTCTTAACCATTTGGTAAAGGTCCATATAAAAGTTAAATATTGGGTGCAGCATGGGAAAGAAAAGGAGGAGGGTCTTTTGAAATCTGCTGTTAAAAATCCAATACGTATGAACAGGGGCGCCGCCAGGGATTTTGGGCCCCATGAAAAGATATCACATTGGTTACTTAAACATTTTTTTCTTAATGTTCTAAAATAGTTTGGGCCCCTGTCAGTCACGGGCCCTTAGAATCGTCCTAACTTTTCAACCCCTTACGTATGAAGTACTTTATTCAGTCAGCAGCAGGCTCCTTGGGGCCTAATGCATCATGAGTCTGTTTATTTTGTGCCATCACCTAAAATCATATTTGTATACTTTTTTAACTTGAGGATGAGGTGCTATGTTTATATAACGTCATTTGTTCCATGTGTAAGCTTTGGACTGACAGTTTTCATTTGGTGAAAGAGTGAATCCTTAAAATATATGTGCCTGTATATATTAAGTGGATCTATGATTGAAATGTGGCAGAATGTAAAGGTGTAAGATTTAGGTTTATTTCTGCATGAATAATTCGTAAAAAGGCAAATGTATGCCTATATTGAAATCAGTCACTTCTTCCAGCCTCTGTCATTTCCATTTCCTCCGACAAACACAAGAAAGAGGAGCCATGTTCAACAAATGCAAGGCTTTCAAACCCATTACATAACTCTCTGGCAGCCATTTTGTTCCCCAGCTAAAGGTCACTGGACTGTCTCTCAAAGAAGTACCAGATGCAGAGTTGATAAAGAAATTACTTTCCAAGTTGCAAATGTCTTTTCAAATCAACCATAGCATGACAAACATCCTACAGGAATGATAAGAAAATTCCACTTTTTTCCTAAACTCATTCAGGCTTTCGATAGTCACATATATGTCTTTCCATTTCTTCCAATCCCTATTTCTTCTATATTTTTTTGTCTTTTCCACAAGTTCTCTTTTCACTTATTGATTTTGATTGATACATTTGGAAATAAATGTATGTCCTCTTCCTTCACACGTTAGACAGGAGACGAGGAAGATGTTGGGGTTAGAGGTCATCGCGCTCTGTCTTCTTTTTGGAGCCCTGGCGCACGGCCAGCAGTCAGAGTGCAGCAGTGAGTGCCATCAAAGTGAATCTTTGTTTCCTTAAAGCCATAGTAACACTACTTTATTGACATGCCATGAAACATTTAATCTGGCTTTTAAATGCATTGCAATTTTCCACAGAGGCTTTACACATGTTTTTTCTTGCGTGTTCCCTCCAGAGAAGAATGAATGTCCCATCGAGGTGTACTTCACCATAGACACATCTGAGTCCATCGCCCTGCAGGAGCCGCCCCCTGGCGCGCTGGTCGAAAAAATCAAGGTACCTCCTTTGCTGCAAATTCACCACTTAAACCTTAACACAAAATATTTCCATTTCATAGTGTCATCATCATTGCCATGTTGTATAATTTGGTGTTTCTTTCTGTTGTAGCAATTCACTGAGCAGTTTGCACAGCGTCTGCAAGATGCTGAACTCAAAGGTGTTGTGCAAGTCAACTGGAACATGGGTGGACTGCACTTCTCCCAGGACCAGGAAGTGTTCAGTAACATGACATCCAATAACGATTTCATTTCTGTGAGTAACACATACACAAACACACCAACACACACACCAAATTCCGTATATTCAGCCTTCAAATTATGTAAATACTGGTTAAAGCTGAACTACGCGACATTTTTTGTATTGTATTGTACGCGATCACATACTTTTTGTCTTAAAATTGTATTGAAATTAGATTTTTATTTGGTCTGATATTTTGGCATATACGCCGTTTTTTTTGTCAAAATAAAAGTCAATCGCCAGTTAGCTTAGCACAAAGACTGGAAACGGGTAAACAACTAGCCTGGATGTCATCAAAATCTGCCTACCTACTTTAAAGCTAACCAAATAACAAGCTAAATCTTGTTGTTTAATACAAACAAAAAACAAACTGTTAAGATAACAATTAGCCGTTGTATGTGCTGATTATGTGATAAACACTTTTGGGCCCCAGTGATAACAAGTCACTTGTTTTTGTGTCCAGCGCCTCAAAGGAATCAAATACCTGGGTAAGGGCACCCACACCGACTGCGCCATCACCAGAATGACGAAGGAAATGCTGCGCACGGCGGCCTCTTCCCCAAAAGCCCTCCGATTCGCTGTGATCATCACCGACGGCCACGTGACTGGAAGCCCGTGTAACGGCATCAAAGCGGCATCAGACAGGGCTCGTGAAGAGCACATCCGCATGTTCGTCGTGGCGTCATCGAAGAACGTGGATGAGACTGGGCTGAAGGAGATCGCCAACCCTCCCGCTGAGGTCTACAGGAGGGACTTCAAGGCTGTGGATATTGTCCAGGGCAGAGTTGTCATACATACAGACACCATTGACCGCATCATCCAAACCATGGTAAAACACAAACACACAGACACACATGAAACATCAGCAACAATTGTTCTGCTCACACTTTGCTCCTTTTGTCTTCACAGAAACATCTGGCGTTTGTCGAAGTAAGGATGAAAAAACAATGATCATAAAGATGTATTTCTTTGTGGCCCCATTGTTTACAGGTTTACCATTTCCCCCTTTTCGTTATAGTGGAGATACTACAGCAAGTCTTTGAAATATTGTGTTTACATGTATGATATTTAGATTTACATATTGACATGGAAACAGCCCTAGCGGCCTCGCCAAAACGTTCACATATATTTAAATTGCAGTTTATTATAAATATTTGTCCATCCTTTATTTAATCCTCCTTTTTAACCTAATTATTATATAACCCACTCGTATCCCCTCCCTCCTAAGCAACCTGAGTTCTTTTAAACTAAAACATATTCATTGAATTTCATCATAAAGATTTATATTTGCTTGTTTTTTTTCACACAGTGTTACAAAGTGTCCTGTCTGGAGACCCCAGGGCCTGACGGTCCACTAGGCCACAGAGGACAGAAAGTGAGCTCTACACACACTGACACACTTTGCAGAATTTGCACACCAGTCACTTTCAACCTCACACACATATCTTCTCCTTTTGACTGCAGGGAGCTAAAGGGGACAACGGAGACCCAGGTCCTAAAGGATTGGGCGGTCGCCAAGGAGACCCTGGTATCGAGGGTCCCATCGGTCAGCCCGGTACCAAGGTAGGTCACTGAACATCCACCTGCCTCTCGTCACAATTCACTGAAGTATTTTTCTTTGTGTTTATATTATAACAACAAATGTTCTTCTTTTTGTTCCTGTCTGTAGGGAGATCACGGTCATACAGGCGAGAAGGTGAGGCATCAAGTTCATCAACGCACAATTTAATAACTGACCTGGTTCATGGACTTTTGGTCGTTTTTTTTTACATTTCTTTTGTGGTTGTTTTGCATCTCTTTTAGTACATTTTCTGTCCGTCTTTGGTCATTTTGCATCTCACCGTAGACATTTTGAGTCTCTTTGTAGACATTTTGAGTCTCTTTGTGGTAATTTTCTGTCTTATTTGGGTTATTGCCTTTCTTTGTAATCATACCTATTGGTTATTTTGTCTCTTTTTAGTCATTTGGCATCTGTTTTTGGTCATTTTGAAACTGTTGTAGATGTTTTGTGTCTCTTTGTAGTCGTTTTCTGTCTCATTTTTGTCTTTTTGTCTCTCTGTGGTCGTTTTCTGTCTCTTTTTGGTAATTTTGTGTCTCTGTATGACTTCCCCCGAGAAATATTAACAGTAACTTTAAATAGAGGCTCCTGACCACCTATTAGGTCCTTGGTCCTGTGCCCAACTGGGTTTGGGTTGTAGATAAATTATAATCTAGATGAATCATATCATATTCTGTTACTGAATAAACCCATATTAATTGTGCGTAAAATAACTGCTGATCTTCTGTCTGCCCACAGGGAGAGATCGGAACTCAGGGGAAAAAGGTAGGAACTTGTTCTCCATTTATATTTTATTGCCAAAATAAATCCCTTATTATCGTTCATTTTGTAAGATATCGATATTTCCCATCTAATTGCCTTTTTTCTTTGTTGTCAGGGTGTTGGTGGCATCGCAGGGCGCAACGGGACAGATGGACAGAAGGTATGTGCTGTACAAGGATTAAATTGGCCAGGTTTAGTACATTGCCTCCAAATGCCTCCTAGAAACATTAACAACTAACTTATCCTATTCTGAAATGTTTTAAATAGTCGACATCTGATTTTTACCTTTTATCTTCTTCCTCAGGGTAAAATCGGACGAATTGGCTCTCCTGGCTGCAAAGGAGACCCAGGCAACATAGTATGACTTCGTTAAACCTGATTCAAAATGATCAGTACATCCAGATTGCGTTGTGTGATTAAGTATTTATGGTGTGTTTGATGCTTTACAGGGTCCTGATGGTCACCCAGGAGAAGTTGGTGAGCGTGGTTTAGGTGGAACTGACGGAGAAAAGGTGCGTTTGTTCACCTAAAACAAATTCCATTAAACCTGTGTTTGATCTCTGCCTGACCGTCTTTGTGTGTGTGTGTCTTGTCTTCAGGGGGATGGCGGTCGCCCTGGAAGAGCTGGTCCTTCTGGCCCCTCCGGAGATGGTGGACCTAAGGTAAACAAAAACAGGGGGTAGTCAGTTATCTAATCAGGTCTTTCCTATAAATAGCTAAAAGATGTTAAAAGGCCCAAAGCACCTGAAAAGTCTGCTGATCATTTTCTGTTGTTTCATCACTAAGGGTCACTTTGTTCTTATTTATATTTTAATATATTAAAATGCTAAACTCTGGTGCTTCTCCCACAGGGAGAGAGTGGAAGTTCTGGAGCGCCTGGCTTGCCTGGACTGAAAGGAAATCCAGTGAGTGTTATACAGATTTGAACGACAAGATGAAGAGTCAAAGACATTATTAACATGATGTTATTTATATATTTCAAACACACACTCATTATGTGCATCCTGTAGCTCACCTGTGTGTTGTTTTTCTCAGGGAACCCCTGGACTTGTTGGACCGAGAGGAGAGGGGGTAAGAAATCACACATATCACACTTCATCGGGCGCCTGTATTGGCTTCCTGTTTATTTTTTCTAATCGTCTTTATGTTCTAGGGGAGAAGAGGAGACTATGGGCCAAAGGGGGCTCAGGGGACAGATGGAGGAAAGGGAGACAAGGTACGAGTTTAAGCACAAAAATCGAATCTGTGATGTATTATTAATTATTATGATTATGTGTTTCGTCACAATACATTGTTCCACCACCAGGGGGCTTAACGCAGATGTTTCTGTTTCAGGGTGAAATGGGGCCTGAGGGTTTGAGAGGGCTTGCAGGTGAATCAGGAAACAAAGGAACAACGGTGAGATGATCTATATCATATTTTTAATCTGCATACGTTAATATGAAGACCACCACTCTAATATACCCACTATCCCTGCACCTGTTGAAATCTCTCTCTCATTTCAACAGGGAGACAACGGACTTCCAGGCCCCAGGGGACCACCGGGGTCATCAGGCGAGGCCGGGAGAAATGTAGGTTTATATGTCTGCTCTGACTCTGATGTCATTCCTTACTATTGTTAAATGCAAATGGCCACACTAATGGTTTGATTGATAAGAAGCCACAAGCACCTCTCTAGATGATGTTGTACCATTTCCCTTCTTTTTTTTACAGTAAACAACATTTCCTTTTGTCTAAATAAAATACAGTTAAAACTAAAATCCTTTCCTTATATTTACATAAATGTCTTTACATACAGTATGTCTGTATACTTTACATAAAATAAAAAGTCACATATTTGGGACTGTATCTCTGTACATTGCATTTTTTTTAATACATAATACTGTGAACCTTTGCACCTTTCTTAAGATTTAAAGATTCAAAGGCATTATTTTTACATGCACAATAGCTACGTTTTGGACGTCCCAGGCTCTTCCAACAATGCAACAAACAGTACTGAAAAATAGAGAAATAAAACTAGTGCAAACAAATGGTAAAACAGACATAATGTTTCAAGTAAAATGCAGGGATAAAAAAAATATATATTATAAAGCATAACATAAAACAGAATAGAACATTATATACTGTACAGCAGAATAAATACTGTATATTGTGATAATATATAAATATGTGGAATAAACACTAACATTATTTAAGTGAACACTTTTGAAATGGTACAGCTCTTTCATTTTATTGTATGTTTTTACATTTATGTTTCTTTTATTCTTTGTATGTGTCTTGCTTTTTTCTTCTAACGTTTTTAGGTTTTGCATCAAAGCTATTTTTTGTCGTGCTTTGATTCAGATTAGGGTTCATGTTACATAACACTACATTAACACTGTTTGTATCTTAGGGTACCAGAGGTGACCATGGTGATGCCGGACCAAGGGGAGAATCTGGACCGCTTGGACCAAAGGTCTGTGTGTGTGTGTGTGTGTGTGTGTGTGTGTGTGTGTGTGTGTGTGTGTGTGTGTGTGTGTGTGTGTGTGTGTGTGTGTGTGTGTGTGTGTGTGTGTGTGTGTGTGTGTGTGTGTGTGTGTGTGTGTGTGTGTGTGTGTGTGTGTGTGTGTGTGTGTGTGTGCATCTTCCTCGGACGGTTTCAGGTCTCTTTGCAGTTTGTCTTGATTGCTTCATTGTCTCTATTCAGGGAGATCTAGGAAGACCCGGCTTCAGCTACCCCGGGTCGAGAGGATCATCGGTAACGTACACATGCACTTCGTCTTTTCACATTTACTAATCGAAGTGACACACGTGGCTGACAAATCTCTCCTCCACTGTGTTTCAGGGTGAGAGAGGAGAGAAGGGCAACAATGGACCTCGTGGCGGCAGAGGAGACTGCGGGCCAAAGGGTGATCAAGGAAATAAAGGAACTTTTGGAGAAGGAGTGAGTTCAATACTTGTTATTGGATGCATTCTGTTACTTTGCAGCTACAAAACGCTAATGTGTCTGCTTACAACAGGGTGATCCAGGATCTCAGGGTGAACCCGGCCTAAGAGGGACAAGAGGAGGGTTTGGGCGTGATGTAAGTATATAAAAAGCACACTGTCAGTAAAGTGAGACAGATACAGCTGCATACACGATCACTGGTATAGAGAGTGGCATCCAGCTAGTGCCAAACACAGCTAATGTCTTCATGTGGTATAGACTATATTAGGAAAATATGCCAAAAAAGTGTTGAATATCGCAAAGATGATATCACTTTGAGTAAATAAATAGATATTCAAGTGAATCGGTCCTGCGTCCCTGCTTTCATTATGCTTCTAAAATAAGACAAAATGCGTGTTGGATTAAAATAAGAACATTGTTTAATTGAAGATTGATGTTAAAAACAAAAGGAACTAATAAAAAAAAGGATAGTAATATTTTTGATTTGCAGTTCTCCACTATAACTCACTTTCAACCAACAAGTGTTGACATTGACTAGAATGTGAATCATAGGCAGAATAATGAATCCTGTATTCATCCCACAGCAAATAAATGTACACTTTCATTTTTACAATAAAGGGGACATTGCAGATAAAAAGGCAAAATAAAACGAGTAGACTGAAATACAAATCTAATACGTACACAGCAAAACAAAGAGCAAATGAAAGTATAGGAACAAATAAAAGTAGTCACTAATAACATTACTAAATTGTAAAAAGATATATATATTTCAGTATTATTTCACAGTCTTGTTACAGTCTTCAGCAAGTACAAAAAAGTATATATTGTGCATTCCTTTTATTCATTTGTTTACTTGATAGTGATTATTAGAAACAAACAGACGTGCAATCGCCGCTAAATGCACTTTAACACAGCGGTATCTCCTCCTGCACTTTAGGTAGCTCTTGTATCTCCTCCTGCACTTTATATGTCGTAGCTGCTACATTGTACTGCCATGTGGTAAATGCTTGTATGCTGCTCATGCTCTTTCTGCATATCATGTATTTCTGTTTGTCATGTATATAACCGTCATGTTCATAAGTGGTGTATGTGACGGGACTACGGATGGAAATTAGCTCAAAGCAAAAATCCGGCTCATTTACATTTGAAAGCATTATTTTGTTTAAAATGTTCATCAATGTGCACTGTCCCGGTTCAAATAACGGATTAAATGAAATGAAATAAAAATCATCTTGTAGCAATCCCAAACCAAAGCTAAGAGGCAGGATGTGATTTTGTGTCTTCTCTTCCTCTGCAGGGAAGTCCTGGTCCTGAGGGAGACCCCGGCCTCACTGTAAGAACATTTCATCTAAGCGCTCTTTTATCACAGCCACATCAACATTAAAATAATGGATTTAATGATTTAATTGTTCTTCCTGCAGGAATGTGATGTTATGAACTACATCAGGGAAACGTGTGGATGCTGTGGTGAGTTTTATTATCGCCCTTGTGTTTCCGTTTGTTATCCGAATATGCTCTGGCAGATTCTCACAGTTTGTGTTTTTTTTGTCGTCTGCAGACTGTGAGAAAATCTGCGGACCCCTGGACATCGTGTTTGTGATTGACAGCTCAGAGTCAGTGGGTCTGACCAACTTCACCCTGGAGAAGAACTTTGTTATCAACACCATCAACAGACTGGGGTCCATGGCCAAAGACCCTAAATCAGAAACAGGTTTGAACATGCATTTGTTCAAGTTACAAAAGATATGTTTAACAGAATTACATTTGAACATATCACGGCTAAAGTTATATTTTCCCTTTTTCCAATATTTCCATACACTCAATTTGACTAAATAGACCTTGAACACATCAGATTGTAACTTAATGGAACTTCTGTTAGCTTTTAGCTCTTGGCTCCGTCAACAAAAAAAACTTTATTTTACAAGATTCAATAACAAACCTTTAAGGCCCAATTCAAAAATGCAAAATGGAGTTGATACATTTAAAAAAAAAAAAGGGTCTAGTCAAGCAACATAAATAATGAAAAAAGTGTCCGGGCGTGTGATTTTATGATTGAAGCATTGTCTGTACAATGGCATAAAAATGTACAAGATGGATGCTGACTTTGCTTGCTTGTGTACCCAGGCACACGCGTGGGCGTTGTTCAGTACAGTCACAGTGGAACATTCCAGGCCATCAAGCTCGACGACCCCAAGATCGATTCACTGTCTGCTTTCAAGGTCTCAAAACACAAACACATGTGCAAACTGCTCTGAAGTGTATTTTTAGGGTGTTTACAGACTGTTGTTTTGTCTTCTTTTGTCCAGATGTTTCTTAATTAATCAGGGCTGATGTGCTGTCTGAAATAAGGCACATGACATCAGGGTTACATATGTGCACATATCCTGCACTTCAGTTCTGACATTAACCAAGTATCTGTATAGGCAATGACTGGTAGAACCATGTTAAAGACCAAAGCTGGCCTTTTTCTTTGTTTTCTCCCATTGAAAGACTACTATTAATATTTATCGTCCGCAGAGTAGGGCGGTTCATACTGGGCCATAGGTAACTGTGAAGCTAGATTTATGCTAAAGATTATATGCTAATCATGCTACCTCACCATTTGTGGATGATGGAAAATACAAGAAACTTAGCCTTCTGCTGAACCTGGCATCTTAACCAATGAAAAGCTACCCTATAACAAACTAAGAGATTGTTCCCACTACTCCAGAGGTCCATTTGTTGTTAGGCATCAATTCCAAGGTAGCTACTTATTTTGATTCATTTTGTTGTCTGAGTTTAAGTTTTATGAACACGGTAAGTGCAAAAAACTGCATAGTAATTGAACTTAAGTGCAGTTTACAGCTATGACTATGAGTTTTTGAATCAGGATCTTCCTCTGTGTCCACTCTCTCATAACATGAACCTACAGACCTCTCACAGTCTGACTTGTCCACCATTCAGGACGCAGTGAAGCGTTTGGAGTGGATCGCTGGAGGAACATGGACTCCATCCGCCCTGAAGTACGCCTACGACAGCCTGATCAGGGACAGCCGCAGAGCCAAAGCCAACGTCACCGTGGTTGTCATCACAGACGGACGCTTCGACCCCAGAGATGACGACACGCTGCTCACCTACCTCTGCAGGTGCCTGGCCGTTAGGCTGCATATTCAGATTTAGAACTGTTTGGAAGAACAAAGCTTTATCTCATTGCTTGTATTGTGCGCGCAGGTTTCCCAACGTTGATGTGAGTGCCATCGGTGTCGGAGACATGTTTGACCAGACAGAGGAGAATGAGAGTCTGAAGAGCATCGCCTGCCAGAAGAACGGCAGGGTGATGGGCATGAGCCACTTTGCAGACCTGGTGGCCGAGGAGTTCATCGACAAGATAGCAAATGTGATCTGCCCAGGTACGATCTATACTGAAGCACAAATTATACATATTTTTATATATATATATATATATAACAATATATACTTCCACTTTTAATACACCTCACCTCCTTTATACATGCTACACTTATTTTCTTAAATACTGTCTCTGATACTGGATTTCAATATTGTAAATTGTAATTTGTGTAATTTCTATTGTTATCTTTAATATTCTATGCTTCTTATTAATATTAAGCTATTTATGGCTATTTACTTTTGCTGTAACAATGTACATTTCCTGATTCTGATTACATAGAGTATGTCCATCTGTTTATTGTGACCTTTTTGTGTGACATCTGTCGTTATCTTTGCTTTAGATCCCATCACCAAATGCCCAGACCTCCCTTGTAAATCAGGTAATATATTAAAATATTCTGTATTACGTGATGTCTCCGCTTCTAAGATTTTCCAGCGTTTAGGCCTGGGTAACCAGCATTCTTAAGGCAACTCAGTATAGCTCCGCCCCTCTCTGTTGGCTGTGTTAATGCGTCGTGTGTGTGGGACCCCGCCCACAATGAGATATCGCCCGCTTGTTTCAGGAGGGGGCGTCACTGGGGGGCAAGCCCCTCCCCCATGGAAACCTCTGGCCGAGGAAGGCAGCCCCTCATTGGTCCCCACCTCTTTGGAGGGTGTGACCAACCTGCTGAACGGCCTGAGCGAGCAGCAGTATGGGGTTGGCGTGGCAACCATGGCGTACGCAGCCCAGAGAGCCAAACTCACCCAGGGAGCGGACAGGCAGCAGTGGACCCAGCTGTTCATCGACTCCTTCAAATATGTCTACGGAGACATTATGGGAGACCCAGAGAGAGCCTTAGGACTCTGCTAATGCTAATATGCTATCCATGCTACCTCGCCAATCTGGACGCCAACAACTAATAAGCTTACTGCTGGACATAGAATAGATTTTTATTAAACTGTGGGCATTTTTTATTAACTCAATGTGTGCAATGTTCACCTGGGCTGATGCAAAATGATTGCATGATATGAAACTGGCCTAGTACTAACATATCAAAGCAGCATTGTTTAAAGTTACTGTGTGATGATGGATCGAAATTAAAAATGTGATGCTTCATCTTCTCATAGAACATTTCTAACTACATACAATGAGCTTTCTCGCAGAAATGTATGTCTGTTAGAAATATGATACATATCATTTCCTAAACCTTAGTGGAGGAACGTTCTCCATTCCCATTGAATGGATGGGCCGATGTCGTCCTTTTGTTGGCAGATTGGTCTGCAGAGCCATTCATGTTGCTCCTGTTTAGTGTACAGAGGCTCTTTGACGAAGCCTCATTTCCACTGTGAATCACGAGCCCGCTGAATCACTACAATTACTTTTTTTCCGCTGTTTTGCACATATCCATGGTTACGGCCTTAACTTTTTTGTGCTCTGGGAATGAGTCATGTTGGTGAAAAGGCCATGACATTTGGAAAATATCTGTTTTTATATATATAACAGCATATGAGTCAGACGTAGGTGTATGTTGATGTTAGGGTAATGGACTTGGCACTGAAAATGAAGGGAATATTGTCTGGTATGCCCTTGATTGGTGCATGTTTCTTTTGCATGTGGCTTGGCTTGTAAAGTAGGATGACTAGAGGTAAATGACCACAGAGCAACGTTAACCAAATGTTAGCTCTGTTACTCAAACTTGCTGATATGAACTATTTTGTTTTGTACAAGATGTATTCATGTTTTTATAATGCAATCTAAAGAGAATAAAATCATAAAGCAAACTAAAAAAGTGATTTCTTAAAAAAGCCAGTACTGATATAAGAAGGTTTAAATGGGTTTAGGCAGCTAGACTTGAAAAACACCATGTTACCATATAATTTGCTGGCTTTGGCCTACGAGCATCTGTGTACCAGCTGTAGCTCTATGAACGTTTTGATTTGGATCTTCATGTGTGTATGTGTGTGTTTGTTCCAGAGCCAGCAGTGGCTAGCTGCGTTCAGAGACCAGTGGATGTGGTGTTCATGCTGGATGGCTCTGAGAGGATGGGATTGGAGGACCACCGCAGGGCCAAAGAGTTCATCGAGAACGTGGCTAGCAAACTCACCCTGGCTAGCGGCCAGACAGACAACAGGAACGCCCGCTTTGCTCTGCTGCAGTACGGCAGCCCCACAGAACAGCGGGTGGAGTTCGCGCTCACGCACAATCTCACAGTGATCTCTGATGCGCTGTCCAGGGTGAACTACATGGACTCCTCTTCTGCTCTGGGCAGTGCTATCATCCATGCTGTCAACAACCTGGTGATTCCACTGGTATGAACACACACAAGCAGATTTCCTCTTTTTTTATTTGATTTCTTGTGTAAGAATAAAGTATACCTCTCATTCTGCACCAATTGGCAAACACCTGGTCTAACACCGAAACCAGTGTTGTAAACCTGCATTCTTTCTAATGGCCAGCAGGGGGCAAGGGTTGCAAAAAATAGGTCTAGTTGTATAGAAGTCTATGAGGAAATTACCATACTTTTTGTAAATCATAGTCCCATTTAGAACAAAAATAAACATCAATATAGCAGTGTATACTTTAGGGCAGTGCTCCCTTGTAATTGACACGTTGCTACCCCTGCTTGTCCTTATTTAAAACTTAAAAGTTCAACCCTATCACACAGTTTTTTTGTTGCATGAAAGTTATTAGCAGCATTTTGGTTACATGAAAATGTATTTTTCAGACTCCTGGAAGTAACCACCTACAACTACATGTAAGAGTCAGTCAGGCATATAACTCCCAGAAAAAACACTACTTGTCATCTTTACACTTTATTTTTGGTAAATTAATATATGTTCAAACATGGAACAGAGCCAGTGTAGCTTCTCCCCATGTTTGTAGTCTTCATAAGCTAATCACATCCTAGCTCTAGCTTTGTTTTGCTGTACAGTCATGAGAGTAGTACCCATCCTCTATCTCATCTCTCGGCAAGAAAGCCAATAATAACATGTCAAAAACAACAGATAAACATGTTATTAGCAGTTTTGGCCTGCTTCTTGTCTTTATGCCAAGCTAAATGTATTTGGCTCCAGCTAGATAACAACACACATAAATGAGTATGATATTAATCCTCTTGTATAACTCTTGACATGACAATGAAAGTGTGTTTCCATTGTAACATTGCATTTTGTTTTTGTAGCAGGGAGACCGCTTGGTCCGTCGTAACGCTGAGCTGGCGTTTGTGTTCATCACCGATGGCATCACAGCCAGCGAGCAGCTGGAGGAGGGCGTGTCTGCCATGAGGCGAGCGGAAGGCGTTCCCACGGTTATCGCCATGGGATCAGACACAGACGAAGAGGTGCTGCGGAAGGTGTCGCTAGGGGACATGTCGGCCATCTTCAGGGGAGCTGACTACAGCGTGCTGAACAAACCCTCGTTCTTTGAGCGCTTTATCCGCTGGATATGCTAGTGAGGAACTGTAACACTCTGCACCATAGAGTTAGAACCCAGAGAGTGAAGGAAGCTCCTTCAGCTACACTTAAACACACACAGAGTTCAACAAACCTCATTCTCAATACTGGATGTAAGGCACTGTTGTGGGACCAGATTAATTTGGACAAAAACCAAAACTATCCTTGTAGGATCAGCTGATCACACTCACACATAGGCTTGCAATATCATTTGTAACTCGATTGTCATTCTAAATCTATTGTCAGTACTTCCAAAGACACTCACAAGTATCCGGAGGAGAGGTGTATGATTATTGAATGTGTATGAAACAAATTGTACACTTTATTTTGTTTTTATTTTGTATTGAAGTCTCTCTCTCCCTCTTTCTCTCTCACCCCTTCTCCCTCTCTCTCTATCTCTCTCTCTCTCACTCTCTCTCCCTCAGTCTTCACAAAGTCAGTATTTACATTAATGGTGCTAAAATAGAAATAAAGGACAAAGCCATCTGATTGGTTCTGAAAGCTTTTTTTTACATCGTGGTAATGATGTAATTACTGTTCAGGAAATGAACGCATTGAGACATATCTTCTACAGGGGGAAACAGATATCACATAAATACCCCACACTCAGCCACACGAGAATCCCTCACCGGGTACACGCTGTAGTTAATGTATTGACGGACAAACGAAAAATAACCAAATCTGTAAACATTAATTCCAAATAAAGCCTAATGTGGTGACCCCAACTCTGTGTTCTGTGTTTGCTAAACACATACATGTGTGATGTGTTCATGTGTTTTTGATCCATGTGCAATTTGTCATTGAATCACTGCAAACACTGCATGAAGGAGGAGGCAATGATTTTAATAAAGAAAATAAGTCACACACTTACATACTACACTTTAATCTTTTGGAATGTAATAATGATCTTCTATCCATATCCAATAATTATATTCAAATATTGTATTACCATTTTGCATAATCAATACTTCAACTTATTGTACTTTCAAGTTCATTTTGATGCTAATATCTTTGTACCAAAACGTTGAAATTGTTATTTTCTAAAACATGAACTGTATAGCTAACGTGAATGAATGGCCACTTCCGAGGTTTATCCACTCATGGACACCGTAAGAGTTACGTGACCACAGCTCTCGAATCCGTGTATCTACGGTCCATTTGTTTTTCTTTATTAAACAAGTAAACGGAAGAGCGTCTGCGAGGCGTTTTTGCTTTTTGCTTTTTACCTTACTAAATGGTCAAATGGTCCTTGGAGCGAGGGGCGGGGCGAAACTCACGGAAGTGATTTCAAAACAACATGAGCAACTCTCATAGGAATGAACGAGGCCCCGCCTCCCACGCTGTATCCAGTTCTTATTATAGAGTGGCGAAGTCCCTCCCCTTCCGGTGGACCTCCATGGGACCTTATTTCGGAAAAATTATGTATTGAAGTCAATGGAGAGAGAAAGATTATCTTTCGATCCCGTTTGAATTGTGCCACGAATTACACATATGATGTTTGTCAATTTAAAAGATAATTTTGCAAGTCAAAAAAATAAAAATGTGTCGTAAAACTGTGAAGTAACACATTTGTTTGTGTGAAACGCTCAATGAACTACATCTCTGGTCAACAACACACGTCACCAAGATGGCCGTCACTACTGTCTTGTCAACAAAACGATTGACTACCCTCACTATCACCACAATGAAACACGTCCAGAAGAATGTCATGCAAAGCTGCCTGCCTGCCTTCCTTTGATTCTCTCTGAACTGCCTGGTCGTTTTAATGTTTAATGTCAACATGGGCGTAGGAAGCATCCTGAATGTGGGGGGGACATTTTTAACGGGGGGTGTGGGGGCGAAAAAATATATAGATTTCCTGTATTCTGGTGCATTTTAACAGGTGGTTTGATACTTTTATGTGGCTATACTAGCATGAGGAAAATGATGGGTACATTTTGTAATTTCATCCAGTAGTAAAGAAAGGAAACATATTTGATTATTAATTCAGAGCTGTCTTTTTGAATTAATAAAAAGCAGTTTAAATGTTCATTTTTTGTAGATTTATATACAACAATAAATATTTGTGAGTGCATTGAGAGATATTGTTGTGGAGAGTCATTTATATATAAATCGCAAAATACATTTGTGAATCCTTCTGTGAGCATTTATTAATATTGAGACTGATCTGACTCCATACAGATGTTAAGTTCACCTAGGAATGGTATCATTGACTTAAATGTTAAAATAAATGTTGCTCTTCTGTCTATATTGGTCATATGATGCCCCTTGACTGAAATGTTTCCTGTTCAATATCCCCACTGATTTCCTTAAAATCCTGGGATGAGAGTCCACATCACAATTTACTCTCAACTGTCATTTCCCTTTCATCACTCACCTCAGCAATGGACCTCTCTCCACTGTCCCTGTATTCTGCCTCTGACTCACTCTCAAGTGCCTAGATGTCAAGAGAGGTGGTGAAGTGATAATTATTTATTGAGCAGTATACTCTTTCACATTGAATCATAACAAGTCATACTGAATGTAAATACAACTGACTCTAAAGTAAGTCCCAGTCTGTGACATTGGACATTTTGAAGACTCAAATTCCCAAGCAGTAGGTAGAATATTAGCTAGTAATGTGCACAGAAAATAAATAGTTAACTGAATACTGGGATGGAAATAGCCTATAAGCACTCAGTAAAACATAAACACACACAAAAAGCTTCTGAATGATAAGAAGTATAATTAAAACATAATGCACATTACCATTTTGAGAGAGAGTACCTAAGTTAAAGAACTCAGAAAATAATCTCTTATCGAACTGAGGCTCCAGTAAAACACACTGACTGCGTCTCTACATGGACATCAGTAAGCCGTTTATGAGTATTATCCCGGTTATGATCATATTGGGGATATGGTGTTTACATGAGCACAGAGAGATCGGGTTATTCATGTTCCCTGTTTACATGATAAATATTAGTAACCTGGCATTTCGATGCCTTTTCTCATCTAAACTATTCAGTATTTGTATCTCTCTATCATGACATAAAGACGAAATTCCTCTCCAGAAGTGAGACGCCGCCATCACTGTTAACTGATTAACTGCTACCAGCTGATGACTTACTTTCCTCTTCTTTGAAAAAAATGTTCTTATGTCCATGTTGTCTGGGGGAGAAAACATATCAAACCAAGAGATCGTCAGCTTTGATTTTCGCTGTATTAACCATTTCCTGAACATTTGGTCTGTGTGCCTTACCTCCGCTACCGGCATCGCTTCATACAACAGATCTGAGCTGTCCAACTATGACAACACTCCTTGAACATGCGCGCGCTATGTGAGAATCTGCCTTGGTACAAAGTAGCAGTGAAAACATGGTACGGAGTTTAATTGATTTGGGCATTCTCTCAATAAGCAAGTGGAATGGATTTCATTTGATAGTGAAGCACTGACACAGCGCTCTACAAAGTGCGGCGAGTGGATAGACCGATTCACGGACTTTCCACA